CAGTATTGCGAAAAGTCATCCCTGTCTTATCTGAAGTGGCCTCCCTACGTCATTGCCTGGAATTGTGCGCAGGATCACCGCTTGTCATGGTGTGTTAATCCACCGTCACATGGTCCAAGCTTTCTCCTCACCTGCATGAAAAGAGCTTCTCTCCTCTTTCTCCTTTATCACACAGAGTAGAGCCTTCGCTGTGTGTGGCTGTGCTTTCGCTTTGCGCGTCTCCTTCGTGTCTGTCAAATGTCAGGCCTCTCTCCCCTTCCTCCTTCTTCTCCTCCCCTTCCTCTCTTTCTCTTTTTTGCGCTTATTTCACTGTGTAATTGTGTGTGCTTCGTGCTATTATTGTTGTCTACTTTCACTTTTTCCCATTTTGTTTACTCCTCGTTCTTCTCTTGGTGTTGTGTGCGTATGTATGTGTGCTTCTATGCACGCATCTTGACCTTGAACTCAATCGCTGTGACACATTGATTGCATCCAATTGGGCCTAGCTGTCTGAGTGGCCGCGCAAAGAATTCGGACGGGTTGTGTGACCCAACGTTTAGGAGGAATTCATGTGATCAAGTAAAGTTACGAAAATTGAAGTGGTTATTGGTATACAGCTGGACATCAGACTTCTTTGGAGTTTTAAGCAGTCAGGGAGTTGTAGAGTGTATTTATTACGGTTTAGAATGGTCTACCAACTCAACACAAGAATAACAATGATCAACACAGTGATTGCCACCGATCGGACATTTATTGCCACTAAAACAGTGTGTCCAGCGATTGCCTTCAGGGCGTGCTCCACATCCGCTTTGTCGAATCCACATTGGTGCACTCCATTTCATTCCTACCTCTTAGGAACTGGATCGTCTTGCAGCTCATCTCACGGACATGGGTTCACGAACTCCCCTGCCAGCAAAGGTCACCAACGGCAAAGGCGGCAGCGGCGAGGCTCCTACCACCACCCCTACCCCTCCCTCCTCCCCCTCTACTGGCTCTACGCACTCCGATTCATCAGTTTCTTCCTCCCATTCGCATTCTGATGCGAATTCGTCACCTCTCCAGCAGCGCCGTCGTCATAGAGGCTCTAGTTTCCGCGGTGATGCCGACAATAGACGTCAGACAGTGGTTGAAAATATCTCTGTGGATGAAGTAGAAGGAGAGGTGGAAGAGGAGACAGACGATCTTGCAAACACTGAGGATGTTAACGAGGAAGACGAGGAGGTACAGCTGAAGGATCCAGATGCAGAGGATGAGGACGCCGACGATGATGATGGCGAAGTAGAGGTGGTAGAAGAAGAGGGCGAACAAGGTGCACTGGATGTAGAGGAGACAGAACATGTGAGGTCCACTCTTTCCATCCTCCGACCTTCCAGAAAGGAGGATCCGGGAACCGTAGGAGCGGAGGAAGACTCATCCAAGCAGACCTCTGAAAGTGGTGGTGGGAAGCTTTTGTAAGTTAAAGGAGGGGTAGACTTGTATGCTATTAGAGTTATCATTTCCTAATTTTGATAATAATTCTTCCTTATCTCTCTTTATTTCTCCCACACTCTCCCCTTGTCTTGTCTTCTCCGTTGTGTGTGGTTCGCGTATGCCATTAGACGCAGACCCGAGGCACCCCCAGTCCCGCACAGGGACACTTCTGCCTCACCCCCACCCCTGCCCCCTAGATGTCAGCCGCCCCTTGACTCCAACGCCCTTCCTGATGGTGGTGGTGGTGGTAACCCAGTGGCGTGTTTCCCCCTTATCACGACCTGTATCAATGGGCTGCAGCTACAGCTGGTTAGTTGCTTTCCTCCCGAGCTGCTGACCGAGGCAGACCCGCGTAAAGACCGCTCGCAGGTGGATAGGAGTGAAGTTGATGAAAAAAGCAACAGAAGATACTCAGCTCCCCCCAGCTACCTTGTGCCGATGTTGTGAGTGCGGTGCTATGCGCTCTAACCGCTCTAACGATGCACACTCGCTGTCTCGTCTCCAATCTCTACCGTTGTGGTTGTCGCGTCGTCGTTGTTGTTAGTGATCGTCGTGACTCTTGGAACGGCACTATTCGGGACTGTATTTTGCCTCCCTAGTAGAGTGCTTTGAGCAGTCAGTCCGTGTTGAAGGGAAGCCTTGATCTGAGAGGGATCGATGAGTGAATGGTCATTTAACTAACTTGTTGAAGTGACGAGTGTCGCTGTTGTTATGGTTGCTGCGTTATTGTTGTCGTTACTAATAGTTGTCATCATTGTTGTAATCGTGGGAACGAGGAAAGTTCATGAGGTAATATTTTGATCCAAAGAAAGGAGGATTTCATCCGCATCGCATGAATGGATGGTTTGAAGGATGAACCTGGAATGGGCCATTGGCGATATGGCTGGACGTAAGATGACTGAAGGTTGGGTGAATGAATAGATGGTTTGGATGGATGACTGCCTGTTTAAAAGAATAAATGGGTGGATGGATGGACAAATGAATGAGTGGATGAGTCGCTTGGCGGGAATGCGTGGGAACGCATTGATGGATGAGTGGATTCGGAATATGGGATTGGCTAGCGGTAGTCTTCGCCACCTTGAAGGATGTAAAGTTCCTGAGCCAAATTTCCCTCCGGATAGAACACTGGGTGGAATACTAGTGAGACTGGTCCGAAATGGATGGTTGGATGGTAAAATGTACGACGGATAGATGGACGGAGAAATGGAGAGCTCAGAGGTGATCGAAGCCAGGATTAATGGATGGATAGGTGGAAGGATGGTGGATGGATATGGGCTGAGTGGATGTATGAATTCATCCGTGATTGTTGAATGGAGCTGCAGATGGTGGTGATATTTGTCTGGGGCTTGGTCTCGTCTACCATATTGTCCTTCGGATGCAAATGCAGGAAGACGTCACATCTTCAAATCCTCCTTCTTGGTGATAATGTAAAGTAGAGACCGTCTGGTCTACTTAAATGTGAGTCTTTAAAAGGATCAGTAGGCATTGTTGTACTCTCGCTAGAGTTAAAGATGCTCACCGCATCTTACTGCGCTGCCACTAGCCTACCGTCTGACGAAATAAGGCAGACGGGTGTGCCGGTAACCGTCTTGGCAACACTTATCAGTTCTATTGAAGTAGTGGCATAGGCGTCTTGAGAGGGGCAAAGTCAGTGTAGTGTTTTTAATGCTTGAAACAAACCCTATTTGGTTGCATCGGCATCTCATTCCACTCCTTCTTCAAACACCAAACTCGGTAACCCAGCCATACGAATCTCGACGCGCGGTTGATTCACCCTCTGACCGTGAGTCATTCAGTGACATCTCAGGTGGTATTCATGGTTTAATGAGTCGTCATCCACTTCCAAACGGATCCATCGTCGAACGCATACCGAATGTTAGAATAGTCGGCGACGCTATTAAAATAAGAAGTTGAAATTCACGCCCCAAGTATGATCTTGAGCAACAGGGCACCTGTGTGAATAACCAAACTAACCTGCTGCTCACCCAACTCCAATGGAAATGCATTTTTTTCTCAAACACTTTTTTGTTTGCTAATTTATGTCGGTGATGCATCTATCTTCAACTATTCAGGCAGATTGTTTGAAATTATTTCGTCCTCTGTCTTCAAACCTCAACTCCTGATCTAACCCCTTATTTTACATCCTCCATTTCCTCAATCCCTCCTTCGCCAAATTTTGTTAAGCCTCACTGTTCCCTCATTTCTCACGCAGAGCTTAACCCAATGCCACCAACGTTGTTTCGTTGTTCCTCTTCTACACTTTCCTTTTACTGACTTTGTCTTTTCAACCTCCTAGACCCTCGGATGAGTTCACTCAGGAGACGTTGAACAGTCTGAATTCGATTTTGGAGAACTCCAATTCCAATCAGACACCGGGAGGTCGCAATCATGAGGTATGTCAATGTTTGGTCTAATATTTGTTTATCACTCCTGTTGATGGCATAGTCTTGACGGATTGGATATTAATCGGGACGATTTAAACTTCATTTATTTATTCTTATAAGGCCGGCGTCCTTGGTTAGAAGAGAAGTGAAAACGCCTCACTGAGGTGTTGTCAGTGCATACTTCCAGCGGATAACCAAATAATAGGGCTCTTATGATCCTTTTTAAAATGAAACTTTGAAGGAGTCTTTTTTTTCAAGTCAAGAGGAGTGAAAAATCACACGTTTCAGGGAGTAGAAACTACATGACCCTTACACAGTCCCTCTATATTGTACACTTATTCTTCACCCTCAAACTCATGTCTGTAAGGCAGCATTGGCACCGAAGGAATTGTCAGTATGATTAAGGCCCCCCGCCCTAGTAGAAGGAGGAAGCTCTCTTGATACCCGTGGAGGTGGTGACCACCACGACGGGGATGGACACTGACAAACGTGCGTAGGGTCGTGGCACCTGCCGCTATATACAGTGCCATCAAGGTAGAATGGTGATGGTTTGACCAATTTGAAGCAGAAGACAAATCTTCTTCTTCTGAAGCCACTTTCTCCTGCCTCCATCCACTTGTTAGACTCCCCGATTTCCGATATAATTTTTCCTCCCTTTAAGGGAGCAATGCTGTTAAGCGTTTTGCCAAGTCAGGCAAATATAAAGTGAGGAGAGCTGGTTAAAAATGGTAGAACTTTTTAACAGTGCCCATCGCCAATAGTTTAGACGATCATTTTTCACCACGGGCGCCGTTTGTTGGTGACATTTCTGATCCTCTCATACTAACCCACACATCTGAATGTCGATGCTGATGTGTTCTTGATCGCCTTCTATTTGATTTTGCGGTATGATGTAGCGCAAAAGCAGATTGGTTGAATTTCAATCCGTAATAAATAGTTGGCTGATGTTGTTTATCCGAGACTGATTCCAAGGCCTGTTGAGATCGGTAGCGGTGTATAAGAAGACTGAGACGTTCTGGCGGTTCTTTGTGGAGCTTTTGTATGCATTGTAAGGGGTGGATTGGTATCGGTATGTTGGTGCGGCACCATTTTATTTGCTTTGATCTGCTCTGGTTTGCTCTGCCCTACCCCCGCCTGATCTGGTGGGGCCTCGTGTTCTCTCCTCTGTATCGGGCGTCGGTTGAATCTCATGCGGTCGGAGTTGGTTCGCTTTACAAGTTGTGGTGGACGTGATTCCGAGATTGAATGATCTGTGTCAGTAGCAATGCGCGCCATCCCGAATCGGTTTGAATAAATCTATTGTAATGGTGAATAGCCAGAAGAGGGATGGACGGAGCTCAAGAAGGAAGAAGGTGGAAAGAGGAAGAGGGGCAGTAATGTTTTAATGTTGAACATAAATGATGGAAAAACAAGTGATAAATGTGGTTGTGTACGTGTGTGTATAGTGAAGTGGGGAAAGGGATTGTGAAATCACGACTGGGATTTATCCGCTTACAAATGGGGATATCTCGTACTGGCCTTTGAGAGGGGGGTGGAGGAGAGAAAGGGAGAGAGATAGATGTGATACGTGGCGAACTGTTTGAACATTAGGGGATGGAAATGGCGGTGACGGTAGCATTAGGAAATCACGTGATCGCAAATAAAACAGGACATACAAATGAGGAATAAAAACGAAGGGGACGGGAGTGAAGGAGGCAGGGAGATACCGCCTCATCTGCATCCGTGCTATCATCCTTAGCTTCGTTCCCGTTCTTACCCTCTATATATTCCCTTGGTATTTCTCCAAGTGATGAGTGCCAGCCTGTTTGGCCATTGGAGAAGGCAGTGGCGGTGGCGACGGCAGACAGACAGATGGGAAGTGTGAGTGAGGTAGTAGGTAAAAATGGGGCTGGCTTTTGAGTCTAGCTCGAATTTCATCGGTTCAAACCATCCATTCAAATGCAAACGTCACCGATTCCACAAATTCGCATTGTTAATGCGTCTGAGCTTCCTGATCGTCTTGTTTCTAGTGTCTACCTGGAATGAGCCTGCTAAAGCGGCGTTAAAATTGTTGAGCTATCAAAGCCAAATCTCTCCAGCCATCAGGCACCGTCGTTGTTGTAGCGTTCTCCCCATCTCTACAAGGCTAGACCGATCCCCACCAAAATGTTCCCTTGTTATCAACACTCGAAGGGGGCCTGAGTAGCCAGTAAAGTAGACACTGGAGGCGCGAAGATTGTGAATACTGCATACTCTCATCTTTGCTCAGTGAAGGGAATTGTTTTTATTCACACATGAATCCAAAGTGGTGCTTTGAGTGGGCGTTTCTGCCATCTCTAACTAATTCATGACTACGCACTACACACAATACCACGCAAATGACTCATGCTTTCATGTTGGAGTGGATGGAAGTTGATTTGAAATGTCACTAGGAAAGTACGTCTATCTGCTTGCCTGCCTCCGCTGCCATGCCGTGTGTGGAATGGAAAACCACATTAGGCATATTCTTGGGCGGGTTATTAATCACTACTACGCTCCTTCATTAAGCAACCCAGCACCTGTTCTGGGGCTGGAATAGTTTGAATTCCTCGACTTTATCATAAAGCACAATTTGTTTCAACGTTCGAATTTAAATTCTGATTATTTAACCTCCTGGTATCAAACTCTGAGCCCGGGGTCCTTCTCGCCTTTCAGAAAGAAACGGAGGATGCGGAGACCATTCAACGCTCAGTTCAACGCCGCCCACACCCCGGTGGCGCCACAGGTCTTCACAACCATCTAACCCAACTGACACAGCAACAGCGTCCAAGTAGTGTGGTCTACACAGGTGCTGTTGGAAAGCTCTGGCCAAAATCTGAAGGTGAGTTTACTGTCACTTTCTAGTAACGAACTAGCTAGCCAGCTTTTTGGTTCATGCGAACTCCTAGCCTTTATTCCACGCCACTTTCCACACTTTTTAATCATGGGGAAAACGGTAGTAGTCGAGTTGGAAAAAAACCAACTATTTCAATTTGGAAGCAGGGCACATAGGAATCAAAATTTCCAATGCTGGATCAAGTGCAGTAATGGTGAGTGGGAAGTGACACTTATGTCCATCCCCCCTGAGACCTCCCAAAATGCAAGGAGCTGATTGAGGAGTTCCGTTTAGGTCGGTGCTTTAACCTCAAAAAGGAGCCATTTGTTGAGTGGAAAAATTGAGCTGGGACCAGCTTGATGGAGTATAATGGCGGCAAGTTGATGTAGCCATCAGTGATCTCAATAAGTCGCCTTACCTTGGAATCAGTGGGGGTGTACAGACAACTCAAAACAAAGTGTCTGGTCTTCGGCTAAAATTGTAGCCATTCGTCTTTCCACTTTCTTTCCACGCCATGCTACAGAATATCCAGTGACCAATTTCGGTGTAGTCTCATCTTCAGGCCAGCAACAACAACAACAACAGCAGCAGCAACAGTCAACTGCCGCAGTTTCAGCCCCGAGTGGGCAGCAGAGACGCACGCAGGACGATGCTAGTCGCGGCGCCCTCGTTGCATCGCGTCGGACCACCGGTGCTGCCGCTGCCGCCGCCGCTGCTGCTGTGCCTCAGTCACCCTCCTTCTCCTCCGGTCTCCACCTTCCCTCCTCCGCTGCCAGTGCTGTGTCCACCGGTGGCGAGTCTGCTGGTGCTGCCTCAGGACGAGTGAGTCCCGGGTTCCTCGTTAAGCTGACTTTCGGTTCCTTCTCATTTGAGTTCCAAAAATTTGCCAGTATTCATCACACTTTACTTCAAAAGTTTTCTCAAAATCCATTATGCTGACCCTTCATTTACCTCTCTTTCGTTCGGTTGGCACTTGTTTAATTCATCCCTGACTAACTTGGCATTCACCAAATTATTTTGTTCTGCTTTGTCGGACTTCAAATCCGTGTCCCTGGCATTTCGTTCCACTTGGCTGCTCACAGAAACACTCTTCCGGTAGATGCAATGGCTTTGAAGAAAGACTATTTTTTTGCCATGACTACCCTCGCCACGTGATATCCCTCCACAGTTTTATGGAGATTCGCTGTGGACTTTGATCTCACAGCACATCTCATTTTGGGGATCAGATCTCCCCTTGTTTCACAGTTGAATTGGCTCGTAAATATCTCGATCACTTCATGTGACTTCCATTTGTGGTGTGGATGTGGCTCAATAATTGCCACCGTCGGTAACCAACACTCTCTCACCCTTCTCTGGTAGGTTGAATTGAACAAGGCGCCGTCGCAACTCCTTCCAACTACTGTCGAAGTGGCTCCATCTCCCCAACAGTCCCAACTGCCCCAGCAACAACACGAGGAGACGCCAGAGGTGCACGTCTACAAGAAGCGCTTCAACTCAGAGATCCTCTGCGCTGCCATGTGGGGTGTCAATCTCCTCATTGGACTTGACACTGGACTTTCCCTACTCGATCGATCGGGCGAAGGGAAAGGTGAGGGGCAGTTCTTTCCTTTGCCACTTTGATGCGACTTACGTTTTGGATTGAATGTGGCCGTATTTTCTACTGGCAAATCATTCCAACACTAGAGACTGAATGATGGTCTACAATGCGCGCTCTGGTCATCATTTATTCGAAGTTAAGCTCGATTTGTTGAACTCTAACCCCATTCCATCTCAGTGGTCATTGTCAAGAACTCGAAGTAGAAGGACTTGCCACATGTCGACGCGACTTAAGCTCTACCGTGGTGAGTCCCTGCATCTTTAGCTAATCACAGCAGACATTCTTCCTTCATTGTTTACTTTCCACTGTCACTTATATAGCTCGCCTTGTCTCCTCTGACAAGCTACACTAGAACTGGCGATTTACTGCCAACTTAAAGAGGCATGGAGGAGGGGGCGGGCGGTCATGGGGCTTGCCGGGCGATCGAGGCGGTTCGTGTAGTTAGATGCACAATTCGACAACTGCCATAAATTGCGGTAGTTGAATCAGCTACGGTTGTTGTCAGGTTGTCCACGGACAAAGAATCCATCCCCTGTTATCATTTTGGTGTCATCCCTCCCCCGGCCCGCGCCATCGGAGGTTTTTTTGTTACCAAGACATGCCGAATCACGGACACCCATTGACTGACGGATAGCCTAATTAAGGAGGACGAGAAGAAAATTAATGAGATGGAAATTTTATGCACGCTCATTAACACCTCCACTACAGCCTCACCGCCAGGTCTTGCCTTCGTTCGGTTTTACCAACGCAGCAGA